AATAGGGCCTCGTTTGAATCCCACTGCTTTGTGATCCTTGAAGATTCTAATAGGGCTGAGCTAATGTTTACCCCCCTCCCCAAAAAGAGGGGATTACTGAGAACATGAATATTGCCAACGAGTTTTTTATGAGGGAAATCCTTTTATTTCAGGGAACATAAAATGCTTTCCAGAACAAAACTGTTTGCACATGAGGTAAAAAGGTTAATAACCAATCATGTTTTCACTTCTGCCAAGAGAGTGTTCTATATTTGGCAATAGTGAATTAGGCTAAATTCAATTGCCAAAACTATTTGGAAATAATCAGGCTAGATTTTCATTTCTTAAGTTTTTATTGGCCACTACAATTTGCCCTCTGATTACTTGGATAGTTAAATATATTTGGAATTAAGTGGGGAAGAAAAACTTGCATATTTTGATAAACATCAAGAAGCTTTAAGCCCCCAAGGGGGAAAAGATGGTGCAATGCTTTCATTAATGAGGACTCTATGACTTCATGTCTGATCACAGACAGACCCGAGGCTGCCTGCCCAACTGGACAATGCATCTGAGAAGCCTCCTGTAGACAGGGATGCTGCCCAGGGGGTTTCTAGAATGTTCTGGGGAAGGTGTAACACATGCTCACTGATCCCAGTTGGGTTTGGTTTTGTTTGATGTTTGGCTATTGCTTTGTTTTGTATCATAAAACCATGAGGTCAAGTTTAGAATTGCTTCCAAAATCCTGAGTAAGGGAGATAGTAAAAGAAGTTGTGTATTGACAGAAATCACCCCTACTTTCTGAAACCAAGAATATGGAGGGAGACATGACTCTATCATTGTAGGAAGAGAACCTCCCAAACACCACCCATAGCAAGAATTTGTTTATTTACTTGTTTTTTTTTTTTTGTGGCGTTGGGATTAGAACCCAGGGCCTTGTGCATGCAAGGTACGCACTCTACTAACTGAGCTATCTCCCAGTCCAAGAACTTGTGCTTCAGTGTGGCCCAGGAGGCTGTATTTTGGAACCAGATGGATGTCTCCATTTAGTTGTTGATGATCTCGTTCCCTCTCCTCCCTCTCTCTCTCTCTCCTAATAAATGAAAGGCCCTGTAATCAATAGCTCCTCTGAGAGAAGAAAGAATTTGAACTTTCAGAGCTAGACACTGAGAGGGACAGGGTGTAGGGACTAGTCGGGAAGACGCCTGTGGGATGTGGCGTTGGCCTTCCTCAGGACAGGGGTGGTCCAGCTTTCTTGTGGATTTCCAGGTCACTTCAGGGAAATGTTGGCACAGCCACTTCATACTGAGCCTTGACCCACATTTCAAAGAAGCCTTCAGCTTGGCATGATGGAGGGAGGAGGTCAGGAGGGTGGCTTTGCTTAACTTGTGGACCTGACTAGTGCCTGATTTTAAATATCCTGTTCTGATGTCCTCGGGCAGGCCAGCCCCACATATTCAGCATTTGTTTAAAATAGTGTAACCCTGTCGTGCTTCCTGCTGATGGCCACACGGTGAGCTCAGGGTCGACACGTGGACCCACGCACTCCTTCTCGGAGCCTGTGTAGGAGAGGTCAGGGGAACCCCACACAGGTAGGCTTGATGCTCCACACTCAGCCAGCAAGAAGATGCCCCATCCTGACAGCAAATCACTGAGCTTTCTTGGGTAACCCCAGCCTGCTCATGATCCACCCTCTCTACAGAGATTTTCCAGCAAAGCAGCTGGGAACGAGAACCTGTCCGACGAGGCTGCCTTGTCTGCTTCGGTGATGCCCTGGTGTCACCAACAGGTGTTGCAACAGAACCATTTAAATTATTTTTGCAAACATAGGAAAAATAAAACCCTATAAAGAAAGGTGCCCATGAAGGAATAAGTTCCCTGGTTACCCGCAGAGGGCTGGGCTTGGCCAGTGGGACTGAAGGACCAAGACCTCTGCCTGCACCCTGGAGCTGGGATGGGAGAGCGAGTGTCCGACGCCCCTGGCCGTCTTCTGGTGGCATCTGGGGGTTCATGTTTCATCAGTTCGGTGAGTGTCACGACCCAGGGAACACAGTCCCAGGGATATCTTAGGCTTACATGGGAAGAGGGACGTCCCTGAGCATTCTTCACATTGCTCTCTTGGAACGGAGTTTCTGGCGCTCTGTCCCAGCCCAGGCCTGGTCGGCAAGCACCTTTGTGGTGACTCATTGACTTCATCAGCCACATGACGTTACGCCAACGGCCCCCTCCACTAAAGTGACCACCTCCTGGCTCTGCTGCTGCTCCTGGAGGTCTCTTCTTTCCTCACCAGGTGAGAGACGGCTCGGTGCTGTGCAAAGAGATGGCCCTGCTCAGCCCTCCGAAGAAGGTCGCAGCCTCTGCCCTCAGCTCCCGCTCTGTGTAATAGTGTCGCAGCTTCTGTGTGTGAGGTTCCGCGACCCACACACGAGCACAGGCTCCCTTCCACAGCAAAAGCCGCCCTCCTCCTCCCCACCGGGAGCTCAACCCAAATCTACAAATTCTGCTCACTTTATATCCACTCCCGTTCGCGGGGGACTGGTGAGCAGTTACTGTGTGGAGAGCTGAATGGTCGCCCCTGGAGCCCAGAAGAGGGGTGAGGCCCACGAGGCAGAATGAGGACCAGATCTGCCCACGGGGCCTCGGCACTCCCAGCCTCCAGAGCCGCCAGACGCATCGGAAATTCCTGTGTCTGAGGTTTGAGTCCCGGGAGGGGGACGTGGCGGGGAGGCCCTGGCCGTGTGTAGCAGCAAGGACAGGTCTGAATTATGAACATGGCTCAGTAGTGACACGGCCACTCCGGTTGAGGAAATGGAGGACCCGTTCTGCCCAGAGGGGCTGCTGTTGGGCAGGAGGGCCTGGTGGCTTGTGCCGCACAAGGTGAGGCTGTCAGTGGGGCCTCAAACCCTGGGGATTCCCAACACTTCCAGCTCTTGGGGAGGAATCCCCAAAGAACTGCCCTCCCACCAGGCCTCTGGGAAAGCTGGTATCAGAGGCTACCCTCCAGGGGCAGGGCGACAGCACAACGGAGGGACCTGTGAGTCCTTCCTGTCCCTGACACAGCAGGACGGGGAGAGGGCTGGCAGACCCACCCCGTCCTGCACTGAGCTATGGACCTGAGGACAGGCCCTGAGCTTGGACTGGATGCTCTGCAGGGGGAGAGAAAGCAATGGGCAGCTTCACCGATTCTAACTAGGGCTGTCCAGGACCTCGGGAAAACCACACTCTGGCTTGGGACTTGGGGACGGAGATTGGGGAGCTAGGAGTGGGGAATGTGACGTCCGAGAGGCGCAGAACCCCTGGGATGAAGGGAGATGTAAGGGTCAGGCAAGTTGATGCCTTATTTTCCTGCCAAGATATATTTTCCAGAGAACCCACTAAAGACCGCAGACCATTTAGAAAAGGAAACAATTGCTCAGTGCAGGCCTCTGGCTCCGGGGACACCCTCGGTCCCTGCCCGGCCAGGAGACAGGCTGGCGTGGACGAGCAGCAGCTGGGCCTGCTGGGAGTGTGGAAGTGAGCCCAGAGGTCTCTGAAGGGCCGGGGCGCCTCCAGGGACACGTGTTTGTGGTTTGCAGACCACTGGACCAGGAATTTAAATTCTCCCTCACAAATAAATACATGCAAGTTCACACGCTCGTCCGATCCGGCGGGGACCGTTGGGTCACGGTGTGTCCGCATCCATCAGGAATGTGCTCTCTAGCCAGGATGAGCAAGCCGCACTGCCCAGCCAGAGCCGGCACAGGCCCACCTCAGAGCGGCACCTTGGTTCCCACCAAACAAATAAATCCTGCACTCATTTGGGAGTTGGCTCGTGATCTGTTTTTTCCAGCCCAGAGTGGTGGTATGTCCAAATCCCTAAATGCTCTCAGCACAGAGATGCTGGACACTTTGCTAGTTCAAAACAGTGCACGATGCTTTCCAAGGGGAAGAGGGTGGTCCCCACTGTGCGAGCCGAGTTCCCTGGAGGGAGACCAGCCAGTTACAGGGATGTAAGGGGAGGTTTTGTGTCAGAGAGTCATCAGCATTTCACTGTGGGAAAGTGCTGGACCCAGTTCTCACTTCCCTCGGCAAGGCTGTTAAAAGGATTCAGTAAAATCATGCACACAAAAGATGTCTTTGCCGACTGCAAAGCTCCATCACAGCCGCCAGTCCTCCCCAGCGCCCGGCCCTAGGCCGAGCAACGGGCAGTTACTCATTTCACAGATTTATTAGGGGCCGACTTTGGGCCAGGCCATATGCTGAGATGCTGAAGGAATGTGCCCTAGAGGTCTCATGCGATTTAGAAAGACGCTCTAGAACGCCGAGACTCAGGCGATTCAAGTCTGCCCCTGAAATGTCTAGACACGCGTGGGCAGTGAGTCTCACAGCCTGCCCCGGTGCTCAGTAGACGCCCGTTCTGCCGCTTCTTCGAGGTTTCCTTGGACAGGCACCATTTCCTGTGGCCAGGGCAGCTCTCAGCTCTAACAGCGTAGGGAAGCAGAGCCCTCCAAGTGCAGGCACACCCAGGGGACTCCCCTCAGAGTCCGCTTGCCCTGCCCTTCTGAGGAAGTCCACCGTAAGCCGCTCCGCGTGGAGTCTCAGTGCTGAGGCGGGATGATCCCACACCTGTCGGCACAAGTCCACAACACCAGGCCCAGCGACAGGACACAAACCGATAAATCCATCTTGTTGAGAAACATGACCGCCCGTGCACTAACCTGATTAATCAGAGGCACGTGGACGCCTGGGCAGAACAACCAGGCGCACAGGCTCACGGAACACAGCAGATCCTGAGAAGAGGAGCACCCAGGACGGGTCAGAGGCACCCTGACCCCATCCCCTGTCACTCCTCAGGAGCCTTGCCCAGGAAATTGTCAAGGACCAGCTGTGCCTGCCGCCCAGGTAGCTTATTTACATCTTGAAGGCTTTGAATGCCAGAGGGAGGCTGGTTCCATCCTGAGACAAGCAGATGGGGCAGGGACACAGCAGAAGGCCACTCCTCAGGCCCCAGCAGGCTGGCGGTCTCTCACCCCCTCTCCTCTCCTCTCTGGAACCTTCATCCTCTCTTTGAAGACAGTGCACCTCTGGAACTGACGCATCGGAAGCTCGGAAGCCCTCAAACACCTGGTTCCCAGCCATCACCCATGGATGCCCTTGAGGGAGGGCGGGGCTCCAGACCCCCGGCAAACTTCTGCAAAAACCTGCTTAAGTGCACCACCCCTCTGTCCCCCAAAGACACTGTCCCCCAAAGCACTGAGGCTGTTCAGAGAGTAAGAGGCTGTGCTGTGGGGAGGGGAGGAGGGAGAGGGAGGAGGCTTGCAGGAGGACACACAGAGACTCCTTCCACCTACTCCCTGGCTGGGACCTTCGATTTGGGACTCATGGTGGCGGTACCCCTGACCCTGGCGGTGCCTGCTCACCAGGAGCAGGTGCAGGAGGCTTTGTGGAAGGAGGTTGGGGAGCTGGGGAGGGAGCTGCTCCTTCAGGCAGCCACAGACCTCAACTGAAGGGACTCTGGGTTCCCTGTCAGTGCTTCATGCTGTCTCTCTCCCTAGGGACACCGAAGCCTCTTGGGTCTCTGTGGAGTGACACTGTCTGATGGCAGAGGCACACAGAACCCGCCAGGCGGTCCTGCCAAGCATCAGACCGCAGAGATGAATCACTAGCCTGAACCAGCCTTCAAGTGTTGTGACATTTGGGTCCCTTTGTCCAAGGCAGAAACACCAGGCTTGTAAGGACGTGGGACTGAGTTATCTGGGTGAATAACAAACACATTCTCCTGGTCCACTGGAAGCTTAGGTCGGTGGACACTGGGCGTGAGCCGCGGAGAGGAGAAGAACAAAACCTCACAGGCTGTGATTTCCAATTGATCCAGAAAAGAGCAGCAGCTCCTTTTCTGTCTGTAACTATGTCCTAGAACTAACCCACGACAGGGCTGGTTTCTCCCAGGGGGACGTGGGGATCCAAGCTCCCGAGTGGGTCTTGCAGCCTTGGATGTGACAGGGAGCTGGCATGGAGGAGGGAAGAAGCTCAGGGCTCAGTACCCCTGGGAAGTGGCGGGGCACTTGGGGTCAGGCCCGGCCTTGCTCCATGAAGTCTCCCTTCTGGTCAGAGAAGGAAGGGCGCATTGGGCAGCTGCGAGCTCCCTGCAGTGCAGCAATTCTAACGCGGTCCCCCACCCTCACGGGGCTTCCCTGCAGCCCCAGGGTCAGGAGGGACTCACCAGCAGGAGTACGGGCACCTCTTGCTGTAGCGGCAGCAGTAAAACTGCCACTCCCGGTCCAGCACCGACTCGAAGTAGCGGCTCTGGAAGCCCGCCACCAGCCCGTTGTTGGAGCACGTCTGGTACCTGAGGAGGAGAGAGCAGACCCAGAACCTAAGACGCTGATGCACCAACAGACCTTCCCGAGATCCCCCTGACACCACCAGCTCCTTCCCTGGCCTGATCCTAACAATATATTCCCTTTTTATACAAAAAATAGAAGTTATGTAGAAATGACAAATGCTCACCATTAATATTCAAATGACTCAGAGTTTTTCAACTGGAGGAAGTTAGGGGACACTGCTCCTGAGGCACCTCTATGGATATGTAGTTGGGTGAAGGAATACATAAACGGGTGGTTATGAATTTTACAAATGCAACATTGTATATTTTTCAGGCCATTTAAAGTAAAAGATAATATTAATCATTTTACTGAACTTCAGAGGTGGGAGAACATCTTTACTACACGCATATGAGATAGTGCACTATTTCCAAGATACACAAAGAGCTCAAAAAACTTTTCACCAAAAAAATAAATAACCCAATCAATAATTGGTCTGAGGAACCGAACAGACATTTCTCAGAAGCAGATATACAATCAATCCACAAATATATGAAAAAATGTTCAACTCCTCTAGTAATTAGAGAAATGCAAATCAAAATCACTCTAAGATTTCATGTCACTCCTGTCAGAATGGCAATTATCAAGAATACAAGCTATAATAAGTGTTGGGCTGAATGTTCTCTCTGATATGCAGATGCTGATGCATAATTAGGGACAGGACCTGGGAAGAATGGGGGAACTTTGGGCAGAGAGGAGGAGAGGAGGTATGGGGGCAGGAAAGATGGTGGAATGAGATGGACTTCATCACCCTAGGTACAGGTGTGACTAAACACACGGTGTGACTGCATCATGTACGACCAGAGAAATGAAAAGTTGTGCTCCATTTGTGTACAATGAACCAAAATGCATCCTGCTGTCATAACTAATTAGAACAAATAAATAAAGAAGGAGGAGGAGGAGGAGACACATATAAATCCAGAGAATGGAGGAACTCAGTCCATGGACTATTCTCTGCTAAGAGCATCCAAGCCCAGAAGTGTGCAGGGGTCTGTCCAGGGCTACCATCCCAGGTTCTCAGGGTTGTCCAGGAGCCTTGTCCAAGCCCTAGTGCCACAGGGTCCCCAGCTGCCCCAGTGCTGCAGAGAGACCCGAGAGGTGGAGCACTCCCCACAGGGAACGGAGCAGCAGGCCGACGGAAGGGTCTTTCTGGCCTAGCACCAAGCCCTGCTCCTCATACGTGGCAGCTCTGCCCCGTCCACTTGTGCTCAGCTGTGCTGTGCTGTGCTGCTCCCCGAACTGTCCCTTGTATCTGACGGCACCATCCTCACTAAGGGTGGGCTTGGAGCAGTGCAGACCTTTCTTCCTCTGTCCCATCTCCAGCACCACCTTCTCCCATCCCCCAAATCCCACAGCACCCTGAGTTTTGCCCCTTTCTGCTGGGACGATGAGGGTGCTGCTCAGAGGGTTCTCACCTTACACAAACATGACCTTCACGGACCGCCCTGGTCTGTGGTCTATAAAGAGGAGAGGTTTCTGTAGTTCTGGTGGCTGGGAAATCCAGTCGCCTGGTCCTGGGCTCTGGTGAGGGTTTTCTTGCTGCATCGTAACGTGGCGGAGGGCATCTCAGGCCAGGCAGAGCAAGTAGGCCAGCTTGGGCCTCTATTCGCCATCATAGGGCCCCTCCCCCATGACTGCCTCTCAATGGGCCCACCTCCAAATACCATCTACATGGATTTGGGGATAAAGTGTCCCATACGTGAACTTTGAAGGACACATTCAACCCCAGAACAAACCCTTACAAAATAGGTCTTTAGCCACCTCCGTGTCTTGGCGTTTTCTACTCATCCTGGCCGTGGATGTTCCCTTTCAAGAGTGGGCACAGCAGGTGGTTTGTTACTCAGCCTGATGGCTGCTGGGATACAGCCTGTTTGTCCAGAAAAGAAAAGTCCCCAGAAAGTCTCAGAAGCAACGTGACAGTAAGTGCCCGGGCTGGCCGTGGAGAGGCACGCAGACCAACACCGTTGGCAGCTGGATTTTATTTGTTCTTTTTCATTGCTGGAAATGAACTCGTAGATCTGAGGAATCTAGACATTAATTAGGTTGCTTCTCCCTGGTTGGAAGGCGTCTTCCCTCTCCATTCGTTCTGTATCCGGGTACTCAACCACACACATGCACATTTGGGCTACTAGGGGGGAGCACCGTGGGTAGCTCTGGGGCCCATCTCCCAGCATGCTCTCTGCTGCCCAATTCCTAGCAATGTCGGGGAGGGGCGACCTCAGCAGGAGCTCTAAGAGTCAGAGCCAAGCTCCGGTGTATCTGGGGAGAGAAGGAGCAGCACATGGTGCTGGGTTCTGCCTCTCTGCAGCGCTGGGCTGCGGCTTTCCTCTGACAGAGCCCTCAGGACTGGGCTGGGCTGTGACCTCCCTGGAGCCACGGTGCCAGGGCTCCCATGGTCCTGGGCACTCAGCAACCCTCAGCAGACAGGGTTCCCACGGCAGTAAGTTCCCTGAAGTAGAAATAAACGCAGGGAGATAAGCTGAGTAGAGCACTGAGGGCAAGCCAAGTTCCACGAATTCCCCGCTGGCTGGCAGCCAGCCTGGTAGCCGTTGGTCCCGAGTGGGAAGCGTGCTGTGTCACCTTCTCACACACCACCTCAGGTAACACTGCCCAGAGAAGACCAACTGGACCCCACAGGCGCCAGGCCTAGGAGCAGGGGGTGAACTGCCAACCTGCTCCCGGCATCAGTTAGGCTGCCTTTCGGTAGAGTGAGCCTGCTCAGGAGCTGGTAGTGAGAATCATTCCTTCCAGGACGGGGTCTTGGAGTGATGCATTTCGGCATGCAGAGTGGTGTAGCAGAGAGGCTCAGAGCAGGGGCCCTGCTGCCACTGTTAGCCCTGACACCTGGCACCCTGGCTTCCTTCCCCAATGGCCTCAGTGTCCTCATCTGTAAAGTGGACATAATAGTTGCACATACTTACCAGCTCACTGTGCAGATCACATAAGACAGTGCACATAAGGTTCCTAGGAGAGTGGTGTTCGATGCTTAATAAATCTCTCCTGGCTGTCATTATTAATATTATTGTTTGGTTCCAGGGACTGAACCCAGGGTGCTTAACCACTGATCTGGGGCCCAGCCCTTTTTAATTTTTTAGTTAGAGACAGTGTCTTGCTAAGTTGCTTAGGATCTTGCTAAGTCGCTGAGGCTGGCTTTGAACTTGCACTCCTCCTGGCTCAGCTCCTGAGTCACTGGTATTAGGTGTGCACCACCGCGCACCTAGCTCCAGGCTGCCATTGCATTTCATCTCGTCTGCAGTCGCTGGGGGTGCACTTGGTGAAGCCACTCCCCTCGAGTGACAGGTGGACTCCCATACACCCTAGCGGCTGCCTCCCTGAGGCAGAGCTCGCTGCTGTGGGAGTCTGGCCACCCACATTGTAGCACAGATGCTTTATTATGTCTTATCACCTCCAGAGGAAGTGCAGTCCTGTGGGAAATAGTCATTTAATCTTTATTTTGCATTCCTTATAGGCCCTGACCCTGGCCCTGCAATGTTAATGGAAGAATGGATGAACTGTGACTGACCAGCCGTTTCCCATGTCAGAGGCAGAAGTGACTTGTAAGAGCCCATCACTCAAGTCTGTGAAAGGCCCTGAAACTCCCTCCACGGGTTTCCATGGAGCTGGTGAGCCATCTGCCTGGCTGTGCCCGCCTTCTCCCTCAGCAGCCTGCGGAGGGCGGGGCGCCGGGGTGCTCTGCTCCACAAGCCCCTCTCCTGCGCGGCTCTCTCTGTCCGTCACTGTTTGCAAAGCTTCTTGTGCAGTGAGACCTGCACACTGACCTCGGCTGCACGATTGTAGGCACAGGGGCCAGGCCTACAGAAAGGAAATGGGGGAGCCTGACCGGGCGGGGGGAGCTGGAGGGCCTACACTGCCACCGTTACCCCAGCTCAATTCCAAAAGAGACAGTGGTGCAAGGAGGTGCCGAGGCTCTGATTCACTCCACAGCACCCACGTGTCTCTCCTGAGCGGTCTGCAGGACAGGTGAGTTGGACTCACCCCGAGAGGCGCCTCCTGCTTCACTCTCTCCCCTGCTCTCTCACCGTCCCCCCGAAGCCTGAGAGTCAATTTCAGTGTCACAAACCGCAGCAATATTAGCCCTGCTCCACCTGATTCTAGAGACTTTCTAGAGGGAAATCACAGGGCAATTACTCCTCCTCTGACAAGAACGTTTTCAGATTGTTCTCAGAAAATGACCTTTCTGAAAATGGCTAATCTCAGGCCATCACTCTGAAAGCAAATTTCAGACAGGAAATTTCTTCTGCCTCTGCAATAGCAAAACAGAATCAGCAGGACACAGAGAAGGAGCCCCTTGGAGGTCAGCAGACAGAGAGCTGGGCCCAGCTCTGACCTCAACGTCTTCTGTGGAGCCCCACCTAAGCCACTGAGAGGATTCCATGACATAATGCCGAGGTGTAACTGAAGGCCCAGGATCCAAGTTAGGATTTATCCTCGGCCAGAGCTCATGCCCGTGAGCTTTGGGGGAGCACGAAAATCAAGTCTGTATCGCCCTATTTCCGGTCACTCTGGCCAGGCTTTCTCATTTTGTCTGGATTCTGCATCAAGTCCAGGGCCACTGGGCAGGAAGGACAGCGGAAGCCAGATCTGGGAGGTGGGTCCAGGTTAGACTTACAGAAAGTGTGACCTCTTGGCAGCTGCAGTGGGGTCGGCTTGGGTGTAGAAGGGGGTAAAGGGACACAGCACCGCTGTGGCCAAGAGCTCTCAAAGTCTTACACAACAGACAGGCTGGTTGTTTTCTTCCCAGCTCCCAAATATACAGGTGCAGTCAAGGTGTGCTGTCCTATCCCCGACCCCACTGCCGAGATGGGCCAGGTCAGTTCTGACTGTGATCCAGCCACAGCGACGGGCTCCCTGTGATGTGGGGGCCGTGTGGCGTGGCCCCCTAACTCCCTCAAATTTCTTCCCATTTCCTGGAGCTGGATGGGGCTCTCAGTTGTACCAGGAGGGC